CAACATTGCATGTAATCAGTACCTGACTGTCAAATCAAATTAATTCAATTTGAGATGTCTGCACACACATGTAACAGTTCTTACCTTGTAAATAGTATGCTTTTGTATTTAACCATGTAAACACACTTTTGACGTAGCTCATTTTAGGTTTATAATGGAATAATATAGATTTGCTGTAAGATTTCCTGCGCAAGTCTGAAATCATGAGTGGCGTGCCAGATGCTGAAAACATACAATTTTTGTTTCACCTGAGTTGATCTATATAACAAATAATATTACTTTATACATATGTTAAAAAGCGGAAACTTCCACGAACATGAAATCACCAATAAACTATGTCTATTTATCCAACATGTTATATAATACATACTGTATTTGACAACTTTTCAGCTATATGATTTCAGGACAGACCAGCCACTCTCTTAGGAACATTACGGCTTTTTGTTTGCTTTGCTGCTGTTATTAACACTAATGGCACATTAGCGCAGACAAATGGCTGCATAAGCCAAACTACGCTTCGCAGTTAAAGGCGTTTGACGTGCATTGGTGTGGGAAGCGGCAGTTCTAGTGCTAAACCACTACCGAAAAGACTACAAAAGCTGTGGCGGTTAAAATAGAAGGGCCCCTTCTACACACAACCTTTGGGTAGAGACAAAAAGAATGAGATTGCAGATGCATGTGGTAGAATGTAGTTTGTTTTGCAGAGTATCTGGGCTCAGCCTTAGCGATAGGGTGATGAGCTCAGACATTTGGGAGGAGCTCAAAGTAGAGCCACTGTTCCTCTGCATCGAAAGGAGCCAATTGAGGTTGTTTGGGTATCTGGATCTAGAAAATGGGTGGATGGATGGATGGATGTTTTACTCATCTGAACAGCAACCATTGTATCAAAGGCTTGCTGACGTGTGGGGGACCTCCTTTTCTGCAGCAGACATTACTATTTGTTTCAGTATGTTCACCTGGTCACCATCCTCCAAACCATTCAGCCTCCTCTTATTTGCATTTTTGTTTTGTTTGCCTGTCATATTCCTTCACATGCTAAGTTATTTCCAGTAAGTAACGTTTGTGCCTTGGTTTGAATAGGAGGAAATGATTAAATCACTTCCTCTGAAACCGTTGATCAATTGAATTTGAATTGAATCATGATACAAAGGAAAAAATAAAATGGTCACATTTTTAGGCTTTTTTTAAATATTTTTGACAACGCAAGAGAAAATGTTAAGCTAGGGAGAGATTTGTTCTGAGATACGAAGCGACTGAGTCAAGGGCTTTTACCACAGACCTGCCCATGATGATAAGCCTGAGGGTGGGGGTGTGACCCAGCTTGGCTGCATGTATGTGCGTGATCCATCACAGAGCACAGGAGTATACACCAGCTGCCCTGCATTTTCTGAATTCAGTTTATTGTAAATACTGTACGTATCTCATAAGGGACTCTTGGCTGCCAACTAGGTCAGCATTTCTAAAGTGACTTGGAATCTTTCAAGTTGTAATTCTGGTGTTGACTAACGCGACCGCTTCACATTCTGGATGTCCTTTCTCACTTCTTAGCCTCAGAACTCTCTGTACTAGCCTGTGGTTGATAGCTTTTAATGGGCATCGTCTGTGTGTTTTAATCGCTGTCTGTGATCAGGAGATGCTGCCTCCCCCAGTTTTATAGAAGACCTCTTTCAGAAGGAGCAGGTGGTCATACTTATCATGTAAAATATCTTTAGACATTACGAATAATGCTGCTGTATTCTCCTTGTGACCGCTTGTTGAAGGCCTTGGTAGACTTTGATAATCTTACCCTACCTTTGTCTACTACCTTTGAGCCTCCAGAAATGTATTGGGCATCAGTGATCGCTCTCCAGAAGCTCTCTTCTGTCAGCCTTTTTAGGTCATAGCCCCCTATCTGCAGTCAGTGATATGACTGGCTGGGCATCACGTCTCCATCAGCAGGTGACTGGTTTTGCCTGTGAGTGTCAGTGTGGCACCATAGCCTCTCTTAAGCACAGTACTGTCTATCTATCCACTCGTCTTCTAATGATTTGTTTGAATTGGGCATATGAGGGAACTTGAATGAAATGTATTACACATAATTCGGCTCAGCCAGGACTGAAAGACCGCTCTTTCCCACAGATGGCTTTATCTCTAGTGTTGTTTTTTTTCATCTCTAGGTGTCTTATTATCTTCTGTGTTTAGCCCCATATTAGACAATGGTGTTGATAGTCTTTCTCAGTAGGGCAGTGTGTGTAATAATCTGGGACCTGCTTTGTAAAATGCAGTTTGGAAGGTTGGAAGTGGCTTTGTATAGCACATACAGCTAACAGCTAATGTGTTTTTGTTCCGTATGTGCACTTATTGATATCAATAAAATCATAAGGCTCAGGTCTGCTTAGGTCCTATTAGTGTGAGTTTGTGCATAGATATCAATGTGTTTGTGGACAATGCAAGTCACATAGTGAAAAATATAGCTCCAGGGAAGAGATGTTTGAGAATCTCTAGCTGGTGTACAATGGGGAAAAATTGTGTGTAGACGTGTTTTACACCCATGACAGTAAGTTTGGGACTCAGTAGCCGTATTTGTGGATCAGGCTTCTTATTAGAACTGTCTCATGTGCCTTTTTTGGAAGTTTGACAGCACTGCCTCTGTTATCAGACTCCTGATCATAGTCATGTTGACATGCTCTGCACCACGTACCACGTACCATGTACGCTTCAGGATGTAAAACTTTCCGTTATGCCTGATGATGCTTGCAGTTCTGCCTGACGGATGGGTGGGTTGACTTACGTCTGTTATGTACAGTATGGTGGAAGCTGTGGTTGACTATTAGGGTTCCAAAACAGCTGTGATGTTTTCAAATTCTATCTGACTGATCTGATGAATCAGAACATATTTTTAAAAGTTGCTTTTCTTTTTGTTGGCATTCATGATCTGCTGGGTATAAATCTATCAAGCCTTTCCTCAAGGTATTTCCTCAGGTTTTTGCTATTACCCATCATGTAGAATACTTGCTTTCCTTTTGCCATGACATACCATGTAAATACTTGCTTACAGTCATATGACATCACCGTTTATGCAGCGCTGGGGTGTGCCGTGCATAGTGACGTGCGTCTTGGCACACAAGTTTACACGTGTCGCTTGGCGACCAGGGATCTACGGAGGTGAATCTTTATGTGACTGTTGGCGCAGAGGCAACGGTCACACTCACGTGGCCTGGTTGTGCGGTCGGCAGTTTGTGCCTATCGCAGCAAATTTGCACAAGGGTGGAATGACACCATGACACCATGTCAGCAGTGACGCATAGCAGCTCATCTGATTCAGGGCATTTAGAAGATTTTTTTATTCTTTAGTCATTTCTGATCAGTGGCCTGTTCTCACCCTCAGTTATGTCCATATTTAAGTAGCAGACAAAGGATGCAAATTAGAATGAACAGTCATTGCATAGTTGTTCCTGCTCCCTCCTATTTTTAAAAACTGGGTCCCCTTGATGCAAAATCTTTAATGTTAGTATTAGTTTGAACGAACTCTAGAATCACGCTCAAAGCCGGCCTGCATTGCTTTTCCATGCATGGGGTAGATTAACCACCGCATCCCCAGCGCACGAAGAAACGCTACCAAGAAACTGATTCAACCAAAGAAAAACTGCAGCACATTAACTGACAGTAATCCTGGGGTGAGTGCCTGACGGGCAGGATGCCGAAACCGCGGCGTGGTAATATGACTAAACTGAAATGCTGAGATGCGGTGTGGTGGAATGCTGCAGCATATGTGAGCTGTCCCGAAACGCCAAGCTGCAAGCCAGCACGGAGGTTGCGAGGAAGGGAGGGAGGATTGGTGGATTGGCCGCCGTTTTCACAATGGTGGTCTATGCATTACCGCAAGTAAAGGTGGGAGGGGGCTTTCCTCCTCTGCGAGGGGAGGTGCTGGAAAGCTACCAGTGTAACTCATACTCAAGCCTGCCTCCACTGTGACCACGCCACTTCGGCTCCGTGCAGCTTGCAGCCTTTGCTGACTGATGTCAGGAGTGTCGAAACGTGCTGTGGTTTTCTGGCCAATGAAGGGCCCAGCCCTGCATTTCATCTCCAGGGACCCTTTCCCACAGCATGCCGAGCTGCGTGCCAGACGGGAGGCTTAGCGCACCCTGATGCCGACACTCAGTATGCAGGCAGGTTACTCGTGGCGACCTGTATGATTTATAAGGGCAGCATACAAGTGAGTCTCTCTTGGCCATGTCCTCGCCTGTGCTGTGTGTAGAGGATCGAGGTGCAGTGATGATACAAACATAGTGTCATGCCTCTATGAAAAAAACGTGCCTCTACAAAATGTAACTCTGTTGAATCACCAACGTGGATGAATAATCTCTGACACACAGCCCCTTTGTCATGAATGAATCCTGCATGGCCATTCCATTCAGACTGTGGAATTTTAAGAAAATTATCAAAGATCCCCAGTTGATGGGAAAACCTTTACCTCGGGGTTTCGTAATTGAGAAATCAAATGTGATTCTTACACACACACACACACACACACACACACACACACACACACACACACACACACACACACACAGCCAATCAAACAAAATATGACTTTCGCAATTTTTTTGATTCACCGATTTTCAGAAAATTGAATTTTCCCTTGTGGGGACCTGAAAAATGTCCCCACAAGGTAAAAAGTATCAGGTTTTTATTTCCTTGGGTCCCCACAATGTAATCTATACAAAACCACACACATAAATCAGTCATTGTCAGCACAAACAGTAGTACCCCAAAATGTATGATGATTTAGTTTTTGTTCAGTATAGCTTTTTGTTTGTTTGAATAGCAGTCCTCTTTCTAATGCACAGCCACTTGCAATTACTGTATGGGATGGTGTGGCATGATTCATCTCTTGCTTCCACAGCATGGATGGTGGAGAGCTGTTCAGTCGTATTCAGGACAGAGGGGACCGGGCCTTTACCGAAAGAGGTACAGACACCCCGTCCTCATTTTTCTCCTCCTCCGCTCCTTCCACTTTTTCTTAATCTTTCGTAATATTATTCTTATCGCTCCAGAGGCCTCAGACATCATGAAGAATATTGGGGAGGCCATCCAATTTTTGCATACCATGAACATAGCACACAGAGATGTCAAGGTAATCTCTTTCTTCAGCTGCTCCAGCCTGTTTTCCTCATGTTCGTCTCACCTGTGGTCACATACACATACACATACATATGCTTAGTTGTTTGTAAATGACGGATGCACTGCCTTTTCATGCCTGTCAGCCGGAGAACCTGTTATATACATCCAAAAGACCCAATGCTGTCCTTAAACTGGCAGACTTTGGATTTGCCAAAGAAACTACGCACAATTCCTTGGCAACCCCTTGCTACACACCCTACTATGTCGGTAAGGAAGCACACCATATAGGTTTTGTTTGTTATCCATATTTTGATGTCAGGTTTTGCTACTGGTTTTTAACTTTTGTGCTTGACTATCTCAATCTTAGCTCCTGAGGTGCTCGGTCCAGGGAAATATGACAAGTCTTGCGACATGTGGTCATTGGGTGTCATCATGTATATCCTGTAAGTAGATGGCTTGTCTTACTCTGGTACCTTACAGCATTCACTATTAGTGTGTATAAGCGTGAAACACTTTCCTACTCCTGTTCTTACTTAATAAAGGCACACTGCTTGGCTCAATGGGCAATTTCACACTGAAGATCCGGAACCTGGTTCCAAGTTCCTGAACTGGCTACTTTCATGTGTCACTTTCACAATGCACAACAGGAACCTTTAAGAATGGGAGTCAGAAAAATCTTGTAGGTTAAACTTCACACATAATTTCATATGAAACTACACTTATGTCCCAAAACAATGGGACATAAGCAAGTTGTTTTGTTAGTTATCGGGGGGACCGATTTCAATCAAAACGGTACATAGCATTTTATTTATATATTATTTATATGACCTGCAACATGTTAATTATTCATTATTAAATTTGGCCAGCAGATCAATCTCTTGTTTTCCACAGAATAAAAAACAATGTAGCGTTATTCCACTAATAATTGCTGGCAAGTTTCACCGTCGGCACCAGAGATAGTAGACAAAAGTACATCGGTTATTGATTGAATTTTCTGATGCAGAAATGTGAAGAGACGAGCAAAAAAGGGATTCACTGATGCATTAAATGTCAGAGAGTTACAAATATAATTCCATCTGCTCAGTTTTTTTTTCTCCGCTACTTCTTCTTTCCCTATACTTCTGCGTAACTTCCAAGTTAGCGCCAGGGCTTGTGGTCAACCAATCAACAAGCTGTTGCTGTGCTCACCTCCCCAGTAGTTTATATTTGAATGAAAAGTAGCAAGTCTGGAGTAGAGACTAAAGGTTTCCGGAGCTGCCTCCGTTGAACAACAAAAGGGTCAAATTACTGGTTTCAGAAAAAGGTTCTGGTTCCTGGAAAATGTTCCTGCAGTGTGAAATTACCCAATGTACCTCGACACTCAAGGTGGCACTTATCTGGGTTTTCCTTGCCACTTGGTTATAGACTTTGCGGCTACCCCCCATTCTACTCCAACCATGGTTTGGCCATATCACCTGGCATGAAGAATCGAATTCAAACAGGGCAGTACGAGTTTCCCAACCCAGAGTGGTCAGAAGTCTCAGAGCAAGGTAACCGGGTGACCCATGTCTGCCTAGGGGGGGTCTTCTCGTTAAAGACTGTGACCCTAGGTTACAGTCGCATTCCATGCTAACCTGCCTATGAGCTGGGGGACATTCATCGCTTTAGCAATATTTCTGAACAAGATGACGTTGGTTTTCACATGTGGTTTAAGCACAGGAGAGAACACTGAAGAAGAGGCATGACTAGTTCAGGATGTGTAGTCAAACAGTGGAGACCTGAAATCACAAAACATAAAAACATGAAATTGAAACAAAAGCCTAAGTGGAAATTAAATATTTGACTTGTACAATTTGTCTAGTAGGATTTTAGCAAGTCATTATTTTAGTAGTGGAATATAAAAAACAACCTTGGAAATATATTCTCACACCTACGCAACTTAGAGATGAGAGACCGAGGTATACCTGCACATACTGTTAGTCCTTGTGTCTGTTCCCTTTAGTTTGTCTGTGCCTGCTTGCTATTAAAAGACCTGTTAGTGTTATTCATACTTTGTGTCTAGCTAAGCAGCTGATCAGTGCCCTCCTGAAGACTGAGCCATCCCAGCGCATGACCATAACAGAATTCATGAACCATGCCTGGATTAACGTGAGTTTGTGTACAGCTGTGTTGGGAATGCCTGTATTTTTAAGAGGCAGTTCTGCATTATCTCTCCATCTTTCTTTACACAAAGCACCGTCATGTTTTCCCCCTAATGATCAAACTGACATGACCTACAGTGGCAGAATTTTTGTTGCTTACCCTTCTCCAGCATTCGATGGTGGTGCCCCAGACCCCACTCCACACAAGCCGGGTGCTCAAGGAGATGAACTCCTGGGAGGACCTGAAGGTGAGTGTCTGCTTCTCAGATGCTCCTGATCTCTCCAAGAATCCAATAATGCATTTTTAACCATCGGGTGGCTTCATGAATTCGGCTGAAGGGTCTGCGCAGGCTCTGACCTGCCGCCGTGTCTGTGTGCTCAGGAGCAGATGACCACCGCCCTGGCCACCTTGAGGTGCGACTTTGGCCAGTTCAAGATCAAAAGCATCGAGGACTCTTGCAACCCTCTGCTGACAAAGAGGAGGCAGAAGGCTAAAAGCACGTCGGCTGACACCGAGCCCCCCGACCTATGAGGGAATGAGGGGGAACACCACGCATGCACACACATATACACACACCGTACACACACAGTGTGTGCAAAGGAAGCAATAACCGTCAGTGCGGTGGAGCGGAAATCATGGACGCTGGTTAAGCAGTGAGATGAACTATAAGACCCGTATGTAATGGCAGTATGTTTCATTACCAGTTTCAGTTTTATTATTCCTCTTAAATAATAGCCTGCTTACAGTGAATGCAGTGCCGCAGCCTGCCACTGCGTTCTGCCCTTTTGAATGGGGTATTCGGGAGATTGTGTCAAGTGATGGAGAATTAGAAGGTAATCAAGTAAATAGCTTATTGTTAAAAAGTCTATTTTCAAAATGTGTCTCGGGCCGTCAGGCTGGCCAGAGGGCAAACTGTTGCCATGGTATTAACCTAATACTGAACAGTGTGGGAGGGGTTGCTTGACATATTTCATTTAGGGGTGGAGCAAAGAGGGCGGGGGGGGGGGGTTCAGCTGTATTCAGCTCATACATGAAAAATGTGTTAACATGACATTATGGCTCACATATGCTAAGGTTTTTATTAGCCTTTTATTTATTCCTCACGTTGTCTCCTGGCAGGTTCCATGTCATTCTTTTGTGTCATTAATAACCACTTCAATGCCCTCCGGCTGTTTGGGATCAGCCTCTTCCAGGTCACTGGTATGAATTCTGGGTCGGACCCCCTCTGTGTCCCTCTTGGCTGCTACTGTGAAATTCCTATCTGAGAGAATCAGGAATCAGCCCTTTTTTGCAACAAATTCTTTTTTTTTTTTCCTGCCCATTTTTGGTGTGATTGTAACATTTTGGCCCTTACATCTTTTTTTTTCTTTCTTTTCAAGTGTGGTATTTAGGGTGTTTCTAAAAATTCAGTGTGTTTCTGCTGTAGGATTTCAATTGAATGTCTTTTGTGATTGTTGTGACCCGATGGTTATTCTGAGAGACTGCACCTCCACTGCTGTGTGATATGGGCCAGTGGCTGTGGGGTCATGGATTTCTTCCGGGCCTTTCCTATCCTGTCTGCCTGCGGCACAGTTTCTTCAGAGTGATGTCACTGTCTCAGCGCCCCTTCCTCACACTTTACCGAAGGAAGTTGGTGTTTGGCCTGGAAGGAAGGCCCCAGCACGCAGAGGAAACAGCGGCTTGGCATGCCGCCACTGTCGCGAATCCTCCCCCCAATAGTATGGTTTTGTTTCTCTTTGTTTTGTTTTGAGATGATTTCTGTTTTATTTCTGTTTGTATGAATGTTGTGGTCGCACGCTTTCTTCCCCGGCTTTGTTTCTTGTCAGTGTTTACCTGAGTTTTACTTTTCCGATAATAAGTGGAGCCGTCTTGACGGAATTGCCTTCAGGTAACTATTTCCAGACATGCCTTGTTTTTAATGTCTGATTGCTGTACTAATATCAAGGGCTGCCTTATCTTTGGATTAAAACTACTGGGAAGGGAAGAAAGCGCATGTGCTTCACTTGTTTTTCTGAAATTTTGTTATGTGTTCCTTTTATAGAAATGACCATTCCTGTTAGCGGTTTCGTCTGTAATAATTTGGACTGTTATACCTATAGAACTTGGACCCTCTACCCCATGGTGAATGTCTAGAAATACTACTGAAATGACTTCAAATTAAAGGGACCCTGCAAAAACGTGCAATCACATTTACTAATGGCTGTAAGTGTGGTTCTTGAAACTCCAAGATTTGGGCACAGTCCTTGTCTGGTGAATGCCTTTTCTCGTTTTGAGATGCACCTTTTGTTATTGTGAGATGCACATTACTGTAAATGATTTAAAACGACACACGTATTTCCCTTTGAGTGTTTAGTTGTTAAAACCTCAGCTTCCGGGGTGATTCTGGAATATGTAAAGCTCAAGGCCTAAATCAGATAGTTGTCAGGGTTTGGCATTGCTGTGCAATTTATTTCTTTTCTGTAGCATTCATGACTGTCCGGAAAGCGTCTTACTGGCAGTGCTGCCGACAGTATGCTCATAAACTCACCGTATGATTGTTTCTGACATGACTATATGTCTGTTCATTCACCATTTGCCTCAGTGTCTTATCGCTTTTTTTTTTTCTTTTTTTGTCTTTCCCATGCCGCTGTAGTTTGCCGAAGTGTCTCACAGCAGCAGTCATGATCTGACGATTTGAGGTCCTGGAACACCTCATGGCCATGTAGGCTTAGGCTGGGGTTTAGGGGTTGGGGGGGTGGTACTGTGTGTTGTCACGATGATAGGGAAGCTGGCCCCTTGCTGGGGCTTCAGGCTTTTGATTTGAGCAAAGGTGCTGAGTTTAGTCAGCTGAACTAGCATTCAGCTGCAAGGGGAAAATCACCTCACTATTGTTTGTTTTTAGATGCATTTCAGTTCCCAGAACTAAAATGGGATCTTGTAAAATTGTCCATACTTTTAAAAAGGAATTTTCTGAGATGTAGGTCTAGGAACTCGAGTGTTAGTATTTCTAAGCAAGGAGGGTTTTCAGAACTTAGTCAGAGAAGTTGGACTAAAGGTTTAGGCCTCACTTTTGTCCCTGGTGAGGCTGTGATCCCAGTCCCTCTGTGTGTCCCTCAGGTTATTCGTGACCATTGTGATCATTCATGTTCTTGTCTCAGCTCCTTGGCACCAAGGACATAATTAGATAAATATATACAGTGGTTCCTGCGGTTCGTCAAGGCTGTGGCTTATGAACAATTTTGTTCATGACCAAAAATGACCAAAAATTTTGTGAAAAAAATGCATTAGTTCACGTACAATATTTGGTTGACGAACAGATTCCTCGACCAGATTCCTTTTTTTACACTAGTGTAGCACCGGCGGGGCGCATGTCCCAGCATGCCCCACGTGTAATTGTAAATAGGAGAACCACAACAGGCACCCAATGAGCACCGACCCCAAATACACAGACAGGAAACACAAGATTGTCAGACACCGAACTGCAAGATGCACACACGGTAGAACATTTACATACGCTAAATACACGCTAGGATTGGATAAGGTAGGGTAGGGTAGGGTAGGGTAGGGTACACACAAGACATGGGCAAACACATGCACGACAATAGGGAAATGCAACCATTAACAACAACAACAACAAATGGGTTAAGGACTGTTAATAAAGAGCGTGATTTCCCTGGCATGCATGTCTTCACGGTCTCTTTCTGCTCCCGCGATGCATTGGTCCACCCGTCGCCACACTATATTGTGTTTTTCTTTAAAGTTTTTACCATAAAAACTAGAAAATTAACAAAATTTATTATTTGGTAGGGTTTTCAACGAATTAATCGAATTTCAGTGCTTTCTTATGGGGAAAGTTGCCTTGGTTTGTGTACAAATTGGTTCATGACCACTTTCCTGGAACGATTTGTGTTCGTGAACCGCAGGCACCACTGTACATAAAGTTTTTGTCTTTTTTTTCTTTCCTCCGAACATTTACCCTTCCAAAACCTCTTCAGAGTGGCTTGGTGAATTTTAGTCATGGGTCAATTATTATGCAGCTGTTGAGGTTGCAGCACATGCTGTTTCCCGCCGTTGTTTCCTCATGCTGGAGAGTTGCAGTCTCCTGGATGTCCCCACAGAGGTGAGTGGCATGTCGTGTGGTGGCCAGGATGCAGCAGCGGGCTTTACTTCCCCTTGAAAGGGGCCTGTGTCGTGCCTTGAAGGTGCAGTTGGTAGAAGTCCCTCCTGTGGTTTGGTTGACCAATGACTCACAGTCACATGACTTTGATGACTTGCCACCATTCACATCTTGTATGCCTATGAGTAATATTACTGGCATGTTAAAATTATTCCCCGTATTTTAATTGACAGAATCACAGTCTGGTGAAACATGACTGTGTAAAAATAAAAAGAAACCAAAAGGATATGCCTTAACCTCGGTGAAAAGGCTGCATAATACAATGCCCTCCATAATGTTTGGGACAAAGACATTTTTCTGTTTTATGCCCCTGTGCTCCACAGTTTTAAATTTTGAATCAAATAACTCATATGTGATTAAAGTGCACATTCAAGACTTTAATTTATGGATATTTGCATATATCTGTTTCATCATATAGAAATTACAGCACTTTTTACACACAGTCTTTGAGGGCACTGTAATGTTCGGGACATAGCAATAGTCTGTATATTACAGCTGCTGTGTTTAATGCTTTGTTGCATATTCATTTCATACAATGACTGCTTGAAGTCTTTGGTTCACAGTCATCACCAGGTGCTGCATATCTTCTGCACTGATGCTCTTCCAAGCCTCTAATGCAGCCACCTTCAGCTCCTGCTTGTTTCAGGTGCTTGTCCCTTTGAGTTTCCTTTTCAGTATTCAGGAAGGCATGCTCATTTGGGTTTAAATCAGGTGACTGAATTGGCCATTCAAGAATTTTCCATTTTTAACTTTGAAAAACTACCGTGTCGCTTTAGCATTGTAGCTACTGCCATCAACAGTTCCATTATCAGTGAAGGAACGTGCTGCGGTACCTGTGGCAGCCGAACATACCCAGGCCATAGCACCCCCACCACCATTTTTAACATGAGCGATTATGCTTTGCATCTCGGCCCGTTCCTTTATGTCTCCACCCATTGCTCTTGCCATCACTCTCGTACAAGTTCATCTTGGTCTCATCTGTCCCAAAGACCCTTTTCTGCAGGCTCTTTTAAGTACTCTGGCAGACGGTAATCTGGCCATCCTTTTTTGTGGCTAAGCAGTGGTTTGCATCTTGCAGGGTAACCTCCGTATTTCTGTTCATGAGATCTTCTGTGGATATTTATTGAAAAACCTGCATCTCCCTCCTGAAGACTGTCATGTCAGCCAGGCATTTGGAGGTTTTTCTTAACTATGTTGAGGATTCTTCTGTCATCAGGTCTTTCTTGGCCAACCAGTCTCTTTGCAATTACTGAGCTCCTCATTATGCCATTTCTTCTTAATAATGTTCAGAACAGTTGAGTTTGGTAACCCTAAGGCTTGACAGATGGATATTATGGGTTTTGTTCTTGTTCTTCAGCCTCGTAATGGTTTCTTTGACTTTCATTGGCACAATGGCAACTATAGACTCCAAAGGTGATTGAAAGCTTAGAAACATGTCAAAGTATCTTTTGCCTGCACTAATGAAGCAATTAAAGAAACCTGAATAATCACAAACACCTTGGAAGCCAAATGTCCAAAACATTATGGTTCCCTGAGCAGCTATCTGTAAGGGGTGCTGTAATTTCTATAAGGTGAAACTGAAATGTATGACATTGACCTTAAAGTTTATAATGAGCACTTTCATTGTGTGTGAAATGTTCCATTAGAAATTTCAATCTGTGGAGCACAGAGGCAAATCAATGAATATTGTGTCTTTGTCCCAAACATTATGGACAGCACTGCATTTCAGTAAGACCTTACTTGTGTTAAAGTTTATACATGGAGTTAAGGTTGTGCTTTCACAGTGGAACGAAAATATCAAATTTTCAATGATAGTAAACAGCTCTGAT